GTTTGCTTTCAGCATTTTGTGACGCACTGCAGCTCTCCTGTGCCTGATTAAGCTGATCTGGCTTATACACCAAATGGAGAACTTTCTGAAAAAGATTTCTTCGTCTAAAGTGTAGTATAAGACAGAATTTAACTTTCTAACTTCAAACTCTGAACTACATTTGGGTCTCTCAATTCAGCAAACTCCAGTGTCTTCGCTCCGTCATTCTGCCCACACCTTAGTTGAAACTCTCCTTACTTGTACTCCGGGTGGTTAGCAGACACTGTCCTCAACCATCCTCCGCCTTCAGTTTTACTCCTTCTGCAATCTACTGTCTACCCTAAGTACACTCTTCATCTGATACCCAGCATGTGATATCCATGCCATTCCCTCGCTTGACGTGATTTGTCTTAGTAAGCACAGGTTACTGTAAGAAAATACTACGGACTGGATGGCGTAAACAACAGAAATAGATTTTCTTACAGTTCTTGCATCTGGAAGTCTGAGATTAGGGAGGCAGCATGGTTGGGTTCTGATAAGGGCTCTCTTCCTGGCTTTCAGATCCAATTTCTCACTGTGTCCTCATGAGGCCTTTCCTTGGCACATGCACATGGAAAGAGAGAGATCTCTTTCACCCTCTTCTTAGAAAGCCACCATCCTATCCGATGAGGACTCCACCCTTATGACCTCATTTAATCTTAGTTATCTCCTAAAAGCCCTGTCTCTAAATAGTCACACTGTATGTGAGGACTCACCCCTATGGGATTGGGGGAGCAGGTATCATTCAGCCCATGGCATCATTCCTTGGTTCTCTATCTTCCATCTTGTTAGATGCTTGGCTCCTGCTCATGGCATCCAAGACTCTCCATGAGCCCATGCCAACCTGTCTCTCCTGACTCAGTTCAAATTGTGCCTGACCCAGTATATTGTGGCTCAAGCCCTACTTACAAGTTCTCCAGAGTCTACCATGTTTTCTCTGGATTCTCTGCCTAGTTTGTCCTCTTATGCTCAGTTTGAATAGTTTCTATTCATCCTTGAGGAAATAGGCACATTTTTCTCCAATAATCCTGCACTAGTAATACTTTCTTTTTTTCTGTTTCTTATTCTTCTACCTTCAGTCTGGGTTAGAGGCCCTTCTTTTCTGCTCTCTGTGTAGGTTAATATCATACTACATTATAATCGTTTGTTTACTTGCCTACCTCCTATTAGATTATAAACTCTTTGAGGGTAGTGCCCGTGTTTTATTATTCTTGCTATTATTTCTATTCTCATTGGTTAATATCAGATGATTAGATGTTCATTAAACTTTTGTTACTGAAAAACGTTTTTAGTATCGCCTGTAACTGTATAAACTGATAAGCATGAAAATCAGTGTGGTTGTTATAAACTACAAAGTCACTTACTCTCAATAAATGCGTTGAATAATGTCACTGCACTTTATTGGACATGGGTATAGAGTGACTGGAAGGCAGACAATAAGACACTGCTTAACTGTGCAGAAACAATGCCAAGGGTAGCAGGTGGGGGACAGGGCAGAGGAAAGAAACGTAAGTGAATCTGTTATCATTGAACAAAGCAGAGTAACATATTTGGGAAGTTTTACCTAAACCACAGCTGAGTATCATCCCTCCACCATCCACTAGGAGGCCTGGATTCCCTACAGTTGAATTTCTGTCCTTTGGTCAATAAGTACCTAATCACTTATAATCTACCAACATTTTCCCCTCTGTAGCTCATGCAATCCAAGGCAATCCTGGCTTTCTTTGCACCGAGCTCCCTGCAGCATGGGTGTGTATTAGCCTGTTCTCATGCTGCTAATAAAGATATACCTGAGACAGGGTAATTTATAAAGGAAAGAGGTTTAATTGGCTTGTAGTTACACATGGCTAAAGAGTCCTTAGGAAACACAATCATAGCAGGAGAGGAAGCAAACACATCCTTCTTCACATAATGGTAGAAAGAAGAAGAAATGAGAACCCAGCAAAGGGGGTTTCTAAGTTTCTATAAACCCCGTTATAAAACCATCAGATCTCATGAGAACTCACCCACTGTAAGGAGAGCAGGATGAGAGAACTGCTCCCATGATTCAGTTCTCGCTACCTGTCTTTCCTATGACACATGGGGATTATGGGAACTACAATTGACAATGACATTTGGGTGTGGCGACACAGCCAAAACATAACAGGGTGTAACCCTGCTTCTCTGGATTGATTTGAATCCCATCACTCTAGAAAGACTGTTAAAATATTTCAGTTACAATGCCTCAACTGAAAAGGTTGAAGAAACCATACCAGTTACATATGTATAGGCTAACGGATAAAATATTCTTGCTCTCCCAGGATAAGGCACATGGCCAAGGCCTTCCCTTGCCAAATTTGCTGCTGTGTATGCTTTCTTGATTTTACTCTCAGGTTTGGAGGAGGTGGATAGATACTCCAGTGAAGCCTTAACCATTTTTACTTTGTTTTGAATTCTCTGTTCCTGGGACTGGAGTTTGGGGAGAAGTCTAAATGGAGCAATTCTCTACAACATACACATACCTGCTAATCCCACTCTCTTGCCCCATAGCTAAGAAAGAATGTATTTACCTATAGAATTGTCCTGGTTCCTTCTTCTAAATTCATTGTGTTATATAAGAACAACTGTTTCAAGGGTAGGTCAAAGGTTTTCCTTTGCTCTCTTCCTGTTCTCTAGATGACAGTGTCATTTTCACTTTCCTTCTACGTCAGTTCTTTTTTGACAACTATCAATTTTTTCTAACAAAATATTGACCCTATTGAGACAAATGTTTAGTTATTAGAAGTTATTTCCACAAAGAACCTATTTCCATATAGGTAGTCAGTCATCTTTAGTGTTGTTAGGAAGATGAATATCAGGGTATGGCCAACGAATTACAAAAATGGACAAGTAGAAAATAATTCTTTTATAATCATTGGTGAAGTGTTTTCAGAGTACAACAACTTCCAGTATTTGTGCCTACTAGTGGATAAGGGAAGATGAAACACACTGTGTGTGTGTGTGTGTGTGTGTGTGTGTGTTTAAAATAGATAATTTTATATACGTGGTCCACTACATAGTCAAACAATTTCTATAGTGTGCAGTAAATGGCCATCCAGAGTGCACTCACACATCAGCAACGCAGTTGATGGGATGGTGCTTCCAGAATGGATCCGCCACCAGCGAGTCTGATTCCTGTGTCCCACAGGTCCCCAGAGCAACTTGCCCATGCACCCCGACCCCCATTCAAATCCATTAGAATTTACACAGAAGGTTGTGATGGGCAAGGCACTTGGCAAGAAGAGGGTCTTCAGAACACACTTTCCAGCTCAGCGTGTACCACCCACTCTCCTGCCCTGAGGGCACCTGGCAGCAGATGAGATCACAGATACACTGGAGCACGTGGGCCTCTTCACTGTGTGCCAAGCTCAGCCACCTCTGAGTCAGCACCCACTCCTGTGAGAGGGTGTACAAGATGTTTTTTACAGCACCTGCAAAATACAGCTGTGGGTTCTTTCTTTAGGTAACATATATTTCTGTGTTTTTTGAAGTGATGACCTGTTTTGCGCTTCTCACATACCAGCAAAACAAAACTCCTTTAGCGTCGAAGAAATTTTAAACATGTCAAAAAATATACGAAGTTGAGAATTCTCTAAGGCACAGAAATTCAGTTTTTAAGAGGGTAAAGAAATAAGCAAAATGATCCACACATAAAACTTACCCTAAGAAAGAAAATAGCTGGGAGTGGAAAACCAATTCTTCAGAGGACAAAGATAGGAGAATAATTGGTTCAGAAGAAACACTTCCACCTGAAGTAGAGAAAAAGCAGGTTGATAACCCTTGTGGAACTGTGAAGGAAGAGAACCAGTGCTGTCTTCATAATCATGGAGGCTGGGATGGCCCCCAGTATTAGAGACTCTATTGTGGACGTTGAAAGAGTAGAGGAAAAAGAAGTCATTGTTCACTTGGAAAGGAACTAAAATGTTTTCAGGCCAAAGAAAATTCAATACTCGCATTGAAACTATGAGGGAAAAAAGATAAATGAAATGCTAGAATTAAAAAAACAAAAATTTTAAACTTTCAGAGAAATTATTGAAATAATATGTATTCCCCAAATTATTGAATGCATTTACATTTCTGTGTCTATTAAACCTATGTATCATTTAAAAATAAGTGATGTCAGCGATAGTCTTTCCCCTTTCTACATACCAGTCTATAGGTGTGCATTGAATATTTAGACATATCAAATGTGATACCTGCAGACACTACTCAATGCTATTTAAGATGGCTGAAAAGCTAAGCTCTGGAGCAATTAGAGTTGGAATGAGAGATGCCTACATGTTTACATTTATTATATTATACTTGGAATGGAATGGCATCTAAGTAATTCTGTGAACAGTTTATATTTGGACTACTTCTGGATTTTTTTGTCACTCTTTCCAAAAGCAAGAAGAATAAAACTCCAGTATAGCATATTACGGATTATGGATTTGGAGAAATAAACAGATACAATAGCATTGAAATAAAAAGGCAATTCTTGGAGAAATTAGAAGTTTTTAAGTGCCATTTATAAAGATTATGTATTTAAAATAGAAGAATGACAGCTTTTACACTAGTTTTAGTAGCATTATGCAAAAGAGAAACCATTCTAAGATGCCCCCAAAAACACTCTGGACAGAAAACATGGATATTTGGAAGAGAATCATTAGAAGCTGAAGGTTTTAGGAGGAAAGCATAGATCAGACTCTCAAGTAGCATATTCCCTAGCCTAGCCCTATCTGTATGAAGACTTTCTTCTCCTTTTTAAATTTTTAATTTTTGTGGATATGTAGTAGTGTATATATTTATGAGGTACATGAGATGTTTTTATACAGACTTGCTGTATGTAATAATAACATCATGAAAGATAGGGTATTCATCCTCAAGTATTTATTCTTTCTGTTACAAACAATCCAATTAGCTATTTTTAATAATTTTAAAATGTACAATTAAATTATTATTGACTTTAGCCACCCTATAAAAATATGTATATATAATGCTTCATGAATTTGCATGTCATCCTTGCACAGAGTCATGCTAATTTTCTCGGTATTGTTCCAATTTTAGTATATGTGTTAGCAAAGTAGCACTGTATAAAGACTTTCTTAAAAAGAATCAATTCCCTGCGAGGACAAATTTAAAGCAAAATAAAATATTGTCATGCCATTCAGGAGATGGTGAGAGTTTCTCTGATCTTCAGAAATTGATTAAATTTTGTCTTGAAACTCCTATCAATTGCAGAGCCAATGGATGCCCAAAGTCCACAGAGTAGGTGATGTTGGTAATGTGCCCATATTCCCTAACCCAAATTTCAACTCTAAGCACTTGCATATATTTACCTTATTTGTTGGGGCCAGAGGTGCCAAGGAATCTTCTCTGTGAATAGTCCTCAAATAATGACCAAGAAGAATTATATATAAATACCCTAGTTCCTTGGAAAATACCTCTGAATGGTGTGTTTTACATGGACTCCCCTTCCCTAGCATGATGAAGTCAACATTCACAGTGGTAAATGACTTAGTAATGAACGTCTTTCACTACCTTCTCTTCCTAGTCTCAGTTCCTCCCTGAGTTAGTTGTGGGTTTTTTCTCCTCCTGAATAAACAATTTGCACTACAGGCTGGGTGAGGTGGCTCATGCCTGTAATCCCAGCACTTTGGGAGGCCGAGCTGGATGACTCACCTGAGGTCATGAGTTCAAGACCAGCCGGCCAACATGGTGAAATTCCAGTTGTACTAAAAATGCAAAACTTAGCTCTGCATGGTGGTACATGCCTGTAGTCCCAGCTACTCAGGAGAGTGAGGTAGGAGAACCACCTGAACCTGGGAGACAGAGGTTGCTGTGAGTCGAGATTGTGCCACTGTACTCCAGCTTGGGCAGCAGAGTGAGACTCTGTCTCAAACAACAACAACAACAACAAACAATTTGCACCAGAGTTCTTGTCTTGGTGTCTGCTTCTGGGATCACACAAACTATTGCACCTTCTCTGAGATTTGTATGCATTCCCTGGATGATTACATTTGTATAGGCCACACATCCTCATAAGCTAACTCAGCTCCTCATCAGCAGAACTCCACTGCTTCTTCAGATTCCCAAAATAAATATTTTTGGATGTGTATTAGTCTGTTCTCATGCTGCTAATAAAATAAATATTTTTGGGAATCTGAAGAAGTGGTGGAGTTCTTCTGCAACTTTTATAAATTCTAAAGGCTTTATTGAAAATTTGGAAAGGTCTGGAGTGGTGGCTTATACCTGTTATCTCAGCACTTTGGAAGGGCTAAGTGGGAGGACCACTTGCGCCTAGAAGTTTGAGACCAGCCTGGGAACCATGGAGGGATCCCAACCTTACAAAAAATTTTAAAAGATAATTAGCTAGATGTGGTGGTCCATGTCTGTAGTCCCTGCTACTCCAAAGGCTTAGGTGGTAGGATCACTTGAGCTCAGGAGGTTGAGGTTTCAGTAAGCTGAGATTATTCATTCCAGAAAGAAAATTTTGAAGGCTCTCTGGAAGTAGTCACTGTGTACAATGTGCATCTACTTTTATTCTTCCCTAACTCTTCCTCAATCTCTCTTTTGCAGACTACTTGGGGGAACTCCCATTCTTCTCATTTCTAGAGAGTAATTTCTTTATTTCAGAGATTAGGGCCAGCCAGCCAGTGTCTGAAATCATACATATTATTCCAAAAATTTTGTGCCCTTTTCTCAAAGATAATTGTATCCCTTAGAGGAATTCTGGAGTCAGTGGTTGAAGTAATAACAACTTTTTTTTTTTTTTTTTTTTTTGAGATGGAGTTTTGCTCTTGTTACCCAGGCTGGAGTGCAATGGCACAATCTCGGTTCACTGCAACCTCCACCTCCTGGGTTCAAACAATTCTCCTGCCTCAGTCTCCCGAGTAGCTGGGACTACAGGCGTGCACCACCATGCCCAGCTAATTTTTGTATATTTAGTAGAGACAGGGTTTCACCATGTTGACCAGGATGGACTCCATCTCTTGACCTTGAGATCCACCCTCCTCGGCCTCCCAAAATGCTGAGGTTATAGAAGTAATAACATTTTATACACTTTGTTATGGTCAAAACTTTACTGTATGTTCATACATTCCTTTTTTTTTCTTTTTTTTCCCTCTGAGACAGGGTCTTGCTTAGTCACTCAGCCCGGAGTACAGTAGTATTGTTCATTGGTCACTGCAACCTCTAACTCAGAGGTTTAGCAATCTGATTCCTATATTTTAAAACTATTATTGATTATTCTTTAAGAATAAGAATAAAGCAGTTATTCTCAAATTTTTTCATAGAATAAACTGAATAGATTCTTTTTTTCTCAGTTAGTATTCAATCATTCTCAACTCTCATTTTTGTCATCTTGGTAAACTGAGCTAAATAAATTCTCCTAGTATAGTTATGACTAATTATCTGGAATGAGTCCACCAAACTTGACCAGAGGTAGAACCACATTTTACTTAGTCACCCAGGCTGGAGTACAGCCCACCCAGGCTGGGCTTGGAGTTATACAACCTGGGGTGTGCTCTTAGGAAATAAAATATAAGAAAAGGTAGATGAGCCTTGGAAAGTCCAGAACCCTGAAATTCACCTCTAATTAGCCTCACAGTAAATCTGCTTTAGTATCTGGCTTTCTGACAAGAATAGAGCATGTTTTAAAATTATCCCTTCTAAAACAAGAAAAGGTATTTAGAACATTCCAGGAATATAGCAAGTCTTAAAACCACTCCATCAAAAACAACCAGAATGTTGAGTACTTACAATCTTCCAGGCATTTCAAGAAGTTTTCTAAGATTAATTTATTTAACTTATTTTAATCTAAAATTTACAGATGAGGATATTATAGGACAAAGAAGTTAAAAAACTTGATTAAGGCTGTACGAGCTGTGGTTTGGACTGTGGTAGTGGCTCTAAAGCCAGCACACATAAGCTATACATGTGTACCTTGTTTCATTGCACTTTGCCTTATTGCACTTTACAGATAATGCTTTTTTATTTTATTTTATTTTATTTTAACAAGTTGAAGGTTTGTAGTAAACTTCAGAAAGTCTATTGGCATCATTTTTCCAAAATCATATGTTCACTCCATGTCTCTGTGTCACATTTTGATAATTCTCACAATATTTCAAAATTTCTGATTATGATTGCATATATTACGGTGATCTGTGATCAGTGATATTTGATGTTAATATTGTCATTGCTTTGTCGCACCACAAATGGTGCTCATATAAGTTAACAAACTTAATTAATAAACGTTGTATGTGTTCTGACTGCTCCACCAGCTGGCCATTCTCCAGTTTTTTTTCCTTCTTCTCAGGCCACCCTGTTCCCTGAGACATAACAAAAATGAAATCAGGTCAATTAATAACCCTACAAAAGCCTATAAGTATTCAAGTAAAGGAAGAGTTGCATGTTTTCTACTTTAATCCAAAAGCTAGCAATGGTTAAGGCTGGGAGTGGTGGCTCATGCCTGTAACCTTGGCACTTTGGGAGGCTGAGGCAGGTGGGTCACTTGAGGTCAGAAGTTTGAGACCAACCTGGCCAACATGGCAAAACTCTCTCTCTACTAAAATACAAAATTAGCTGGGTGTGGTGGCACATGCCTGAGGTCTTGGCTACTTGGGAGGCTGAGGCATGATAATCACTGGAACCAGGGAGGCAGAGGTTGCCATGAGCTGAGATCGCACCACTACATGCCAGCTTGGGCAAACAGAGTGAGACTTTGTCTCCAAAAATAAATAAATAAATAAATAAATAAATAAATAAATAAATAAAAACAATAATTAAGATTGGTGAGGCAGGTATGTAGAAATCTGAGAGAGGCCAAAAGCTAGGCCTCTTGTGCCTAACAGCTGAGTCATTAATGGAAAGAAAAACTTCTTAAAACAAACAAAAGTGCTGTTCTCTTCTAGTGAACATGCAAATAAGAAAACAAACAACCTTTCTGCTGATGTAAAGACAGTTTGGGTGGTCTATGTAGAAGATTAAACAAGCCATAACATTCTCTTAAGTCAAAGCCTAATCCAGAGCAAAACCCTAACTCTGCAGTTCTATGAAGCCTAAGAGAAATAAAGAAGCTGCAGAAGAACAATTTGAAGCCACCAGAAGTTTGTTCATGAGGTTTATGAAAAGAAGCCGTCTTCATAATATCAAAGTGCAAGGTGAAGCAAGAAATGTGAAGTAGAACTGCATAAGTCACCCAGAAGATCTGGCTACGATTATTGATGAAGGGGGATATACTAGACAACAGATTTTCAATGTAGACAAAACAGCTTCTATTGAAAGAAGATGCCATCTAAGACTTTCATAGCTAGAAAGGAGAAGTCAATGTCTGATTTCAAAGCTTCAAAAGACAGGCTGACTCTCTTGTTAGAGGCTAATGCAGGTGATGACTTTAAGCTTAAACTAATGCTTGTTTATTACTCCAAAATCCTAGAGCCCTTATGATAAGGTTTGGCTGTGTCCCCACCCAAATCTCATCTCGAATTCCCATGTGTTGTAGGAGGGTCCCAGTGGGAGGTAATTGGATCATGGGGCAGGTCTTTCCCATGCTGTTCTCATGACGGTGAATACATCTCACAAGATGTAATGGTTTTAAAAAGAGTTTCCCTGCACAAGCTCTCTTCTCTTGTCTGCCACCATGTCAGACATGTCTTTCACTTTTCACAACAATTGTAAGGCCTCCCCAGCCACTTGGAACTGTAAGTTCATTTAGCCTCTTTCTTTTGTAAGTTGCCCAGTTTTGGGTATATCTTTATCAGCAGCATGAGAACAAACTAATAGACCTTAGAAAGCGTGCTAAATCTACACAGCCTCTGCTAAGTGAAACAAAAAGCCGGGATGATAGCATATCTGTTGTCAGCATGGTTTGTTGAATAATTTAAGGCTATTGTTGGGAAGTACCACTCAGAAAAAAAAAATTCCTTTCAAATATTGCTGCTCACTGAAAATGCACCTAGTCACCCAAGAGCTCTAATGGTGATGTACAAGATTAATATTGTTTTCATGTGTGCACACACAACATTCATCCTGTAGCCCATGGATCAAAGAGTCATTTTGACTTGCAAGTTTTATTATTTAAGAAATACAT